CGCGGCTAATCTTCACGACCGATATGGAACGCAACATCACAAACACGCGCTGACGTCAATTTCACGTTGTAGAATTTCGACGCGTACTCGCGGCGTGCATTTGCGTAGCAATGCATTTCAATTTATGGCCCTAATTTAATAATAAACCGCGCGCGCCTCGCACGATGGCATCAATTTTTCCTGCAGACCGCGTCTCCCAATTACAGTTTAAAAAAAATTTGCAGTACTGCAGTACGTCCGATTGTAGCGAATGCCCCAGGAATCTCAGTAATGCGCTGTTTTTTTTTGCTGCCGCAGCTCGATCGATTGCGTGACGAACCTTTCTTACACCGTTGTAATATCATAGACGCTATAACTGTTGTAATATCACAGACGCTATAAAGCTTTCTATATACTGTCATTCCTCTCAATGTCCCTCTCACTCCCAATTCTTTCGACACACACACATGAGAGAGAGAGAGGCATAGTGATCCACAAGCATATTATATATATATATATATGTATATATATATATATATACATATATATATATATATATATATAATATCAGGAGCGTATAATGACAAATATTTTGGCATAATTTGTCATTATACGCTCCTGATAATATATGGCAGTATCCTGGTGAGCATGATGCGTCATTGGGATGACCCCCTGGTTGTCGCGTGCGTAATTACTCCGTTAGATGAAAGAACGGCTGCGAATAGCGTGTGAAGGTCTTCCGATTAGTACTGACATAATCAAACGTACTAATAATACGTTTGATAATAGTAGGCCTACGGCTCCCTCGCCGTATCAAAGAAACGTCCGAACCTTTCTTACACTGTTGTAATATCATAGACGCTATGCAGCTGACATTATTATGTGCCTGCTGTTAGAGGAATAGCAGACTATTAATCTCTACTGTATACTGTCCTACAGTTCTACTTCCTCGCCGTGTCAAAGAATGTTTACCTTTTAATGTTGATCGCCCGCCGCCCCAAAAAAATGGCCGCCGTGGCGTTGTCGCTGTTTGGAAGTGAACAGTTTAATTTTGTTTTGTTAAATGTGTGTAGAGATACGAAGAATTGAATTGCGTATCTGGGTGGCTAACATAACAGCGGCTATGTGTGTGTGTCAGGGAGAATTGGAGCACAGTTTTCATGCTCAGCCCTCAGTCACCGGCCCCGTCAGCTTAACAACTAGTTAAACGCTCATATTTGTCACATGTAACGCCTTATATATATATATATATATATATCTGACGGTCTTGATTTCGCAGCCGTAATTCTAGCGAGTAATTCTCGGCGGCTAATTGAGCCATTATGAATGTCGTTAAACTGGAGCCTGCGACAATCAAGGTTATCATGCGATTTTCGCCTCGAGACGTCAGTCTCCGCTCGCCGATTAACGCCAGGGTGTGCCACTGAGCCGCTTTGATGTTCCGCTCCTATTGTATTCAGCGCCCAATTAACATCCTCCGAGATTTTGACAAGAAGTTATTTCCATGTTAGTATTTTGCTCTAAGCATGCCGCTGCGTGCGCGTGTGCGCTGCTGCTGATGATGGATCTGCATGAGCCACAGAGGCTCTGTAGATAGATATCTGATTCTCTGGTAATCGCAGCTGCACTAGTTCGTGCGAACAAATTTCTCGGGTTCTAAACAGTTTCCTGTCGTCATCTTTATCTAGCGCGGACTGATTTTGCGGTCGCGTTTCTTTAGAAACTAACCGTGCTATCGGTCGCACAGGCAGGCAGCAATTACGTATTTTGTGGCGCCACGTACGTGGTATATTTGTATACACACGTGTAGACCGTTTCTATGGCACCGTGTTATGGCGCGTATCGTGACAGCAGCAACAGTAGTAGTAGTAGTAGTAGTAGTAGTAGTAGTAGTAGTAGTAGTAGTAGTAGTAGTAGTAGTAGTAGTAGTAGTAGTAGTAGTAGTAGTAGTAGTAGTAGTAGTAGTAGTAGTAGTAGTAGTAGTAGTAGTAGTATAGTAGCAGTAGTAACAGTAGTAGTAGTAGCAGTAGTAGTAGTAGTAGTAGTAGTAGTAGTAGTAGTAGTAGTAGTAGTAGTAGTAGTAGTAGTAGTAGTAGTATAGTAGTAGCAGCAGCAGCAGCAGTAGTAGTAGCACAGCAGAAGCAGCAGTAGTAGTAGTAGTAGTAGCAGCAGCAGCAGCAGCAGTAATAGTAGTAGTAGTAGCGGCAGCAGCAGTAGTAGTAGCAGCAGCAGCAGTAGTAGTAGTAGTAGTAGCCGCCGCAGCAGCAGCAGCAGTAGCAGCAGCAGCAGCAGCAGCAGTAGTAGCAGCAGCAGCAGTAGCAGCAGCAGCAGCAGTAGTAGTAGTAGCAGCAGCAGCAACAGCAGCAGCAGCAGAAAAAATTTCGTCTCCGCCAGATGCGCGTTATTATCTATCGCGCAGCTGGGCGCCCGTCCGAACAGGGATTCAACCCGGATTGAAAAAACGCAATTAACGCTGCTGTTCGCATGCCGGCCCGACAGCTACATACCGGTCAGTGAATCAGCGCCGACGAGACGCCGCCATGTTTAGCGGCGTGCGGTGCCGGATAATGCGTAGTCCACACGCGAATATGACGGAGCGCACGATAAACGAGAAAACAATCAATCGAACGTAAATTGAGCAGTAATCGGCAATTTGCAGCGGTGCCGTAGCTAACGAGAGAGACGATTATAAATGGCTACGATTAATGGTTTCTCTTCGTTGGCGGCGTCTTCTCAAGATTATCTGGCTGTGCTTTTGTCGGTCTCACTACGCTACCAGTTCCAAGCGCTAACATTCTAACATGATGTGCATACACGCAGATATACACGCACACATACACGCGCGCGCACACACACACACACACACACACACACACACACACACACACACACACACACACACACACACACCACACACACACGCGCACACACACACACACACACTACACAC